TGTTATCTACAGTTCAGCGGTTCAAATCTCACCGGCTCAAGGTTGACTCAGCCTTCCATCCTTCCGAGGTGGGACCCAGACTGTGGGGGCAATTTGCTGACTCAATTTGCTAAAAATCTGTAAACCGCTTAGAGAGGGCTGAAAGCCCTATGAAGCGGTATATAAGTCTAATAATAAATAAATAAATAGATGATAGTTACATAGCCATACAGATCAAATAAAGTGTACAGTGGACACAATCACCATGGGCCTTGCTGCTTAATGGTTTCAACTGTCACAGGAAACCCTCCTCAGAACATAAAAGGTACCATAGATTATAACCATTAGATGCAAACTAAACACTGCCATCCACTGGCTGAATAATGCTATAGTTGTTGCAATATAAAATACATTCTAACATGTATTCCAAAAAGACAATAACAGACTAATACACTTAGAAGGGACCTTAGAGGTCTTCTAGTCCAACCTCCTGCTCAAGCAGGAGACCCTATACTATTTCAGATGAAGAGTATTTGTAATGGTTGAAAGCAACCCTGAACATCTCATCTTTCCCAGAATTTTGAAAGAATTCCATTGAAGGTATGAGTGTGCAACACTTTTAGAACTGATCTCTGTGAAATATATAAGGAATTGCATGAAGGATACAGCTGGCTGTGGTTAGGTTAGAGAGCAGGTGTGGCCAATATATATCTACATTTTAATAAATGCTATTGGCTATGTCAGGATTCCCAGGATCAAACATATAAATATACAGCATGCAAACATCTTCTTGTGACATTGTAAAGGTGGATGATAATTAGCTTCTCTGAAAGTTTTACAGCTGGATATGAGCAGCATGAAGTTTATCTGATTGCCATATTGTGGCATCTGCAATAGGCAACAAGTTAAACTGCTTTAAGACTCTAATTGCTCTGGCATTCAGTGGCTAATTATTTCCCTGCCTGCAAAATAATGGTTCTTCGGATGCTAGTAAAATTTTCCTTAGCCAGTGTTCTAGGTATAGCTATAACTACATTCCCCTTAGAGTTAATCAAGGTCTTAAAATAAAACTTAGCTGGGAGTCTCTATTGGCTAGCAGAACATTTATCTTCTTGTTTTATCCTGTTTTCCTTATGAAAATATGAACAGGAAAACTAATCCTCCAAAGGATCCCCCACTGATAATTTTCAGCAATGAACTACCCAGGAACCCTGATTAGTCATCTTCAATCTACCCAAAGCTGCATATCTTCAGCAGTCTGAAATTGTCAAAATCCCACTTATTTTACCAGCCCTCATTATCCCTTCCTCTCCAACTGCAACCTGCCAGCTTCTTAAGTTATTTTGGCTTCCTCCCCTTCTCTGTGAAAAACTATGCATAAAAATATTATCTGTTTGCATTCCAACTAATTCCCTAGAATTCATCATATCCAAACAAAGGATATATGTCAGGGAGATCACATAATAATCTTGTCTAATGCATATTTGCTCCATCATATCTATCACCCTTTTTCATACAGTATCCTCCTTCACCAAGCATCCTGAAAAGGAAGCGATTCCTAGAAGAGGAAAATGCTCCATTCTCTCTCTCTGTAGTGTAGCTATTAGAGATATAGGCTCAGACAGTGAATAAAAGAAAACCTTGAGTTTTCAAAAGCAACACACAATTATATCCACTTTGCACAAAGGCCATGGATAAAAACTGCTATAAGCAGATGGGTGGGAGGGAGATTCAAGCTTACAATATTAAAAGATCCTTATTCAATCTGGGCACATGTTCATTTTGCTCGGTATCTTCTCTCATGGAATAGAAAATAAGATGCTCCTTCTGGGATGTTCAGAAACAGATTTGTTTTGCCAATTGTCAGAACAGTGATCAGGTATGCTGGCACTGGGTTTTGTTTTGTTTTTGAATTTGAAGGCAATAAGCACAACTGCGAACAAGAGATTTTAAGCTTTATTATTCATTTAAATAAACAGATTTAAAAGCATAATGTAAAAAGTATACTTACCGAGCAAGATGATATCCAAAGTTCTCATATGCTATTTGTTGTTGTTAGTTGTGAAGTCATGTCTGGACTCANTAATTATTTTTCCAGTTTTGTGCGAATGTAATTCTCGCTGCCGTGATTATGTATAGAATTAAATATCTAATTTTTTTTCCATAATTTCCTTTTATAATTCCTAACAGAAATAATTGCGGTTTTAGTTCAATTTGGTGTATGGTAATCTCCTCCAGCCAATCTTTTATTTTTTTCCAATTTCTTTTGCAGATGCGCATGTCCACCACATATGGTAGTATGTTCCTTGTTGTTGGTTACATTTCCAACAGATAGGTGAGCACTCCAGGAACATTTTCGCCATTCTCGCTGGTGGGAGAAAGGCATCTCTTTTTTAATTAACTTTTTAAAGCTCAGAAATCTTAAAGCAACACTTTTCTTCTTTGGAAAATAGAATCTTGTCCTCAGGTGCTTCCTGACATAGCTGTTACTACGTGTCATTCCAATAAATTATGAGGAACAAGTATTCCTTTCACTATACTTTAAGTAATTAAGGATAATTTCAGTCTGTTCTTATACCCAAGTTGAGAAGTTTCCCACAGATTTTTATTTAACAATTAATATGACAATTTGCCAGATCAGAAATATACTTGTAAAATGATACAATTAAATGGAGTGGTCTACTCTAGTCCTCTAATCTCTAACCAACAGGGCTGGAAACTTAAATGTCAGTTCAGAATATTTATTTCAGATATATGCTCTGATTATTTGGAACATCTGTATCAGAGGTGAGTTCCTACCGGTTTGGCCCGGTTCGGCCGAGTAGGTAGTAACTCGGCCTGCCACGCCCCTGAACCGGTTATATCAGCGACATTGCCATCTTGATTTTTGGTTCTTCATTGCAATTTTCTTTCCCTTTTCTAATGTTGTACGCATGCACAGACCTTTTTAAATGCAAATGTGCCCATGCGCGTGGAGCAAAATTTTTTTGCATGCGCCAAACCAGCATTAATGCCGGCAGGAACCCACCCCCATCTGTATATAGGTTCTGTCCATCTTATAAACCCCATCCCATTAGTTGTGTAGCAGAGCCCAAATTTGATTTCTTAGTTACATTCAAGTATGACAGAATGCTTCCGCCTGGATTATAAATATAGAGATCACCTTCTAAAAGTGGCATTACCACCAAATCTGCTTCCATTTTTCTCCAGCTTTTTGAGCTTGAAGGTTATGATCCTGCTATAGTTTAATGCTTCCCCCCCCAAAAAAATAGAGGGGCTAAAACCCCTCACCCTTTCCCTTTCTTAAGCTATAAAAGCGTATGCTATCATGATTTTCTTATTGCAAGCTCTGTGAATTTTTTGGGGAAGCCATTAATAATGGAACGAATCTCCCGAGAATAGCAATAAAATCATGAAAAGTTGGCAAGCCTGCTCACTTCTGTGGTGGTCTTGTTACAAAGTTTATCAGGCAGAGAGAAAGGTAGCTGCTGTTACTTATCAAAGCCCTGGAGATGAGAAATGCAGACATTCCAGTGATGATTCCAGTGAAAATCTGCCTTGAGTCAGGTGAAATAAATAAAAATGAAAATCAGTCCAGTGAAATTGACCTCTTGTTGGTTGGATGCTGCTAAGATGCCAAGCTTTGCTGAACCAGAGGTGGAGTTTGGTTAGGTCAGGGGTCGACAACCCATAGGTCTGGAGCTGCATGTGGCTCTTTCATCCTTCTGCTGTGGCTCCCTGTCGGCAGTTCGCTCCACAATTGATAGGGCTTTCAGTTAGAACAGGTAGAGGAAAAAGTACGCGCACTAGGAGGAGACTCTATGGTGGGTATGGGTGGGAACTGGACTTCCAATCAGCAGAGGAAAAAGGATGCCATGCTAGGAGGACACTCTATGGTGGGGAAACCAGACTTCTTGTTGGCAGAGGAAAAAAGATGACACACTAGGAAGAGACTCTATGGTGAGGGAATCGGACTTCTGGTTGGCTCCAGAATTGAATGGGGGGCTTCTGGTTAGGACCTTTGTGGCTCTTTGAGTGTTTAAGGTTGCCAACCCCTGGGTTAGATTAAAGGTACTTGATTGCTTGTTTGGTTAATGTTGAACAAGACTGAAACAAGATTCTACCCCAATAATGTACTTGTTTCAAGAATATCTACAGCATGTCTGTTTATGGAAGATTGCAGTAGGGTTTAGGAACAAGATAATTGTACTTTTGGCTAGCATAAGTTTCCTTTCATTTGCTATCTCTTTTGGCATTTGGGGAAGGAAGGAGAACCAATAAACTGAAAGGTAAGAGGGCTCTTGCAATTGCCCATTCCTTAATTGGTCTTTCTTTGCTGACCAAGCTAAAGTTCAAATCTGTGGATGGCTCTGAATCAGAGCTTCACTGCCAATGGAAATTAGACTTGGGTGTGCTGAGCAGAGATTTCACATGTGCTGACCTAGCCGTTGGGACTCTCTTGGCCTCTTATCTGGCTCTGTTTCTGCCGAAGCATTTGTGAAATGTTCAATAATCTTGGGCTGTGAAGCTCTTGTCAGCTACAGCTTGCACACATTCTAATGCCGGCTTTGGTCGCTGGCATTAACAATGAAGCTGGCAGGGTGAAGGGGGACTATAGACAGGTCCTTGTCAGCAGTTAATTAGGCAGTGCTGCACACAGAGGAGCTCTGATCAGCTCCCAGAGCTCCACGGAGAGCTTCCCTTCCTATCGCACAAAGCTGTCACTGCAGACGGCAATCTGTCCACTATGTTGTCAAGAGAAACCCTGGATACAAATGCTCACAACCTTTGCAAATCGCCCAGATCAAAATGATCTGGCAAACTAGAGGGTTTTGTTTGGTCAGTAGACCTAGGAACATAGACACAAAGCTGAATGAATGTTGCCGGGCAGCAGTGGAAACAGGCATAATAGGGGCATTCAAAAATTCATGTGTAGCATAGATAATGATGATAGATAATGTAGAAGCTCTCCCTCTCTTACAAAAAAAAAATCAGAACTCAAGATCATCCGTAGAAATAGAATGCAGGAAGATTGAATGAACAGAAGGAAATATTTCATCATGACTCAATTATGGAATTTGCTGCCAGCAGCTATGGTCGTGGTAGCCAATTCTTTTTGTTTTAAAACTGGACAAATTAATGTAGGATCAGGCGTTCAATGGGTTCTAATATTGATAGCCTTTTATAGTCTTATCAGTTTATAGCAGCCTCCCTTTGATGTTGGTTGCTGAGAAAGAAAGAACAATTCTCTAACCAGAATTGTGAAGGTCCTACATACTGCCAATAAGTAAGTAAGTAAGTAAGTAAGTAAGTAAGTAAGTAAGTAAGTAAGTAAGTNCTATCATGTCTCCCCTAGTCCTTCTTTTCATTAAACTAGACATACCCAGTTCCTGCAACCGTTCTTCATATGTTTTAGCCTCCAGTCCCCTGATCATCTTGGTTGCTCTTCTCTGCACTCTTTCCAGAGTTTCCACATCTTTTTTACATCGTGGCGATCAAAACTGAATGCAGGATTCCAGGTGTGGCCTTACCAAAGCATTATAAAATGGTATTAACACTTCATGTGATCTTGATTCTATCCCTTGCGTCCTTGGAGGCTATTTAGCCCGACACTTTCTTAGCATAGAGATGCCCAAATGTGGGTCCCCCATAGAGGACCCTCCAGCTTTGATACTCCTCCATACCGAACGAGCTTCTTTCCGCAATCGATTGCAGAATCTTCTCTTCAAATTCCAGTTTTCTGTTTTCTATCCGCCTGGCCTGTTCGTTCTGTTGCAAGAGCTCAAAATGTACTTTATTCCCAAGGCTCCATCTGTCCATCTGAAGCTGGGTTCTTCTGCTTCCTCCCACCTCAACCCCCCAATTTGATCCGATTTATATAAACGGGGCTTAATTCCTTTCCTGCCTAGAACCGGTTTTTATTTTTGGGCTGCACCAAAGGCTCCAGTCCAGCCTCTTTTAACTTCCGCCTGGAATGCTTTTAGGAAAACAGGAAGCCGTTGAGAAAATACATTTTGGCATTCAAAAGCAGCCAAGCGTTTCCATAAAACAGCTTTTTGGCGCTGATCTCTTTGCAAAAGCAGCTAACGGGTTGGGGGGTTTCTCCATTTTTCTAAGCCCAGGAACAAAGCTCCACAAACAGATTTTAAATTCGGGACCAGGCAACGCAGCAACAGGCCGCAAGGAAAATTCTCTGCCCTTCAAAAGAAAATTGTTTTTTTTTTAAAAGGCAGTTTTAAAAACACGGGTTTCCAGTTTATTTGCCCTTGAGGTTAATAGTCAGCTGTCACGTTAAAAGATAAATAAATCTAAATATGTTTCTGTATTGTTTTTTATAAATAGCTCATTAGGAGTACACAGATCGTTCTTAAATTTTAATGGCCGGATGCCTTTCCTGTCACCAGAGTTTCGTACAGCAGATATATTCTTAGTGAAAAGAAAGAAATATCTGCCTCTACATAGGATCGAACTCACAGCCTCCTGATTGTGAGGAGAGAGCTCTGCCTCTAGGCCACCCCACAACAATCCTGATGTCATTTCATAATGATTTCCTGATCATCACCTTCATTTAACGACCCCATAATCCTTTATGGGGTGGTGTCTGGGCAACTGAATGGAGCTACCGGAGTCTTTTACTGGCTGGATGCCTTTCCCTGTTGCCAATGCGGAGTTTTGTTCAGCAGATAAATTCTCAGTGTGCCGAGAGAGAGAAATATCTGCCCCTACCTAGGATCGAACTCACAGCCTCCTGATTGTGAGGAGAGAGCGCTGCCTCTAGGCCACCCCACCACCACTCCTGATGTCATTTCATAATGACTCCTAATTAATGACCCCAGAATCCTTTATGGGGTGGAGTCTGGGCAACTGAATGGAGCTAGTGGAGTTTTTTACTGGCCGGATGCCTTTTCCTGTCGCTAATGCGGAGTTTTGTTCAGCAGATATACATTGTAAGTGTGCGCAGAGAGAGAAATATCTGCTATACCTAGGATAGAACCCACAGCATCCTGATTGTGAGGCGAGATCACCATCTCTAGGCCACCCCACCACTACTCCTGATGTTGTTTCATATGACTCCTAATCATCATCTTTATTTAATGACCCCATAATCCTTTATGGGGTGGAGTCTGGGCAACTGGAGCTAGCGGAGTGTTTTACTGGCCGGATGCCCTACCCTGTTGCCAATGCGGAGTTTTGTTCGGCACATATGTTCTCATTGTGCCTAGAGATAGAAATATCTGCCTCTACCTAGGATTGAACCCACAGCCTCCTGATTGTGAGGCGAGAGCTCCGCCCTTAGGCCACCGCACCACTCATCCTGCAGATGTAATCCTCTGGGGCAGGAGGTTGGCCTCCATTCTTTATCCCATCCGTTCCATTCCATTCCTCATCCTATTCTCTCCTTTCCGATGCAGCACCTGGAACAGGAGAAACACGAGCTGAGGAGGCGCTTCGAGAACAAGGAAGGCGAGTGGGAAGGCCGGGTCTCCGAGCTGGAGAGCGACGTCAAGCAGCTGCAGGATGAGCTGGAGAAACAGCAGGCTCACCTGCGGGACGCTGACCGGGAGAAGACGCGGGCGGTCCAGGAACTATCCGAACAGAACCAAAGACTTTTGGACCAGCTCAGCAAGGTGAGGGAGGCTACTTTGGTCATGGGGGAGGGGAAGGACGGTTGCTGTTGACGTGGTGGCCTCCCTTGCAGTTGTTGGGATCTCCGTTGCCCCTTAACGTCATATACAGTGGTGCAGTGGTTAGAATGCAGTACTGCAGCTAATTCTGCTGACTGCCGGCTGCCAGAAATTTGGCAATTCGTGTTGTGGCCCGCCGGCAGCCTGCAGAGCTGGCAGCAGAGTCGGCCAGTGAGGAGGTTGGGGAGGAACATGGGCCAGTCCTGGGGGCTGAGGAAAGCTCAGACGAGGGCTCCGCGTCGGAGGCAGAGAGGGAGTCAGACAGCAGTGAGGCAGAAGAACAGCTGGAGCCTGTTCCCAGTGTGCGCATGCGCAGAACTACCAGAAGAAAAGAACAACTAAGAAAGCAGGATCGACTTAGGAGTAAAGCCACACCTTGGAGGTGGTTGGCCCCCTCCCATAGGAA